AATACATTAAAAGAATCAGACAATCAATAAGGAATATGGCAAAAGTGTCTGAGTATTAATGCATTATTAGATTTTTTTTACCTTCATGTAATATGTGTATATATACATAATTGCATATAAATAAACACATTTTACTATATGTATATAAATTTTATAAAGATACTTTACATAATAATTTTGTTAAATATTCAGAAACCATGTTTTCATGGCCTTTATTTTGTTCTATTTATAAATCTAATAAATACTCGTTGTAGAAAATTGGAAATATGGAAAAGTATAATTAAAATTTAAATCATTGATAAGCCTAGCCATAAACATCAAAGGCAACATTTTGGTGTGTTTTTTTTTAATTTTTATTTTTCTGTGTATGGCATATCATTTAGAACCTGCTACACATACAGGTTCAGATTCTACTTTTCTATTTCATTGAGTATTCTTTGAAGGCATGACTTTCAAAACTACATAAAAGTCTGTATTAGGAATGTGGTGTAATTTATTCCACTATTTTGAAACACATGTGTGTTTTTAATTTTCAAAAGATATTAAGTTTCTGAAAATTATATAAGTGAATTTGAATGATGTGTAGAGTTTGACTAAAATGTGATTTCAACCTCAAATTCCTGGAGTTGACCTCATTTCTGTTCATTGTGTTCCGAAAAGTACAACCTATGCCTTATTTTATGCTCTTTTAAATAATACTATGAACAATATGTTAAAGCCTTACATTCTTGCCTTAAAAAAATAGAGTGATTGCTCATGTAACTTTGTGTAAATGATTCCATTAGTTTTGAGATTTTTTTTAAAGGTTTTTGAGGGGCTTTTTTCATATGATCAGCTAATGAATTCAGCAAAACATTCCAACCCCAACCTGTTTCTCCTGTTTAGCATTTTCCACTTTTTTACTCTGTGATGTACAAGCCCTCCCTGGTTAATTATGTATATATTTAGCTGCTGCATGTGTTGGGCTTATTATTGTCATCTAATTAGATGTAACTTGAACTGCTTGCTTCTAGAAAAATCATTAAAAATTCTCTCCTAATGACCTAGAGATGACAAAATGTCTGTAAAGTGTGAAGAAGCAGACAAGCACAGGAACATCGCTCTTAAAGAGTGTTAATCCAGATGCCGCAATCATCTAATTAAACAATATTTTGCTGTCATTAACATTTTCACCAAGGAATTGCAGTTATAATTTCTTTGTCAGCTGTCTCTAGATCACTTTACCTTCAAAACTAAAGTGCCATATAAAAACATTAAATTGGATGGTTTAATTAAAAAGTTTTTTTTAGGTGAAGAAACATATCCAGTGTTTCAGAGATCTCATTTACCATGCTTCACCATTATTGTTGGAGTAGATTAGTGTCATAGGCTTGAAATATTTAATATTCATCATCTAAGATAAATCCTTATAAGCATAGTTAATAAAAAAAAAAAGAAAGAAATCTACACTTGCTACTACTGGAAAAGGAAAGAACCCTACCAATTATAGCACAGGGTTATTTACTAAATTTTAATTATTCTAAAAAATTAAAAACAAAACAATTGATAAATAATTTCCCCAAAGTGCCAGAACCTGACAGGTATTACTTTGGAAATACTTCAATTTTTTTGTTTACTTAGTGAACAATATTTGTTTTTTAATTTCACAAAGGTGTTCAGGAAAATAATTAAAGTAATAATGCTTTATGGCTGAAACTTATGAATGCAAAATCCCAAAGTACCACTTAATCATTCTTTTTGTCCATGTCTATTGGACATAGTCTATTTTTAATTCAAATAAAAAATATATATTGACTGTTCATGTTGTAAGGCTTTTATGTGGAAACTTTTATTTAATGTAGCTCTGTAAGTGCATTTATTTATAATGCTTATTGTATTTATTAGACTTTAAAGGGTGCTATAAGCCCAGCCCACATGGCTCAGTGGTTGAGCATCAACCTATGATTTAGGAGATCATCGTTTGATTCCCGGTCAGGGCACATGCCCAGATTGGGGGCTCAATCCCCAGTAGGGGACATACAGGAGGCAGCCAGTCAATGACTCTCTCATCATTGATGCTTCTAGCTCTTTCTCTCCCTTCCTCTCTGAAATCAATAAAGATATATTTAAAAAATAAAAAAAATAAAAGGTTCTATAAGCCTTAGTAATTTAAAAATTATTAAATTTCCCTTACCATTTATTTTCAGCCAACCTTCCAAGTATTATTAAAAATGAATTGCAAACAATATAAGAAATGTGAATTGCCATAGCTGTGACTGGCATCGATCAATTTGTGCTGTATTTTAAAGATGGTGCTTTTTATTCTTTGTATTTTTTCCAAAAATAACATTATAGCCTTTTCTTTATTAGAAAATTATTTCTATTAAAAGACTAGTGTCTTCAAATATGGTCTCTATTTTTATGCTATTTGTATTTATATGATACATTTAAGTACTGAGTTAATGTCATTTGGTTTTTTATTTTATTTTGACAGTTTTTTCCTTAGTGTATAAGTTACAAAACCTCATCATAAAATTTAAAAACAATTATGGTATCTAATTTTTAGCTATTTAATTTATTTATATAAATAATATAAATATGTTATATAAATAATATCATCATTATTCTATAAAAATGCATACTAGGAGACCTAGTTTTCATTAAAATCTACAGATTTTTAAGTAGAATGGTAGCCCAGAAAATGGCAGAGCACTAAATGTGCCATGGGCCCAAGTTAGAATCCAGAAACAGCTCTGCCTGGCCAATCTGGAGTTTGTATATATACATGTGTAGAAAAAGTACTGAGAGTAATAAGATGTCCTAGGTTATCATGTATAAGAGCTATCAGTAATAAATTCAAAGTTATAGAATTTTACATTTTGTATTTTATAATGATAGTTTTAGCAGAACATTTTTATGTGCAAAATACTTTAATAAATGTTCCTAATTCTTATGTATTCTTATTAGTATCATTCTTCACAATAGACATAAACATAGAGCAGATGCACCATTGGCTGAGCTGTGTAGCTGCAGACATTTCCTTCCAGTTTAGTGCGCAAATTCACAGTGCCACTCTCTGCCACATACATCTATGCCTTCACATAGCCCCCATCCTCCAAGGAAACTGTCTGTACTTGGACAGTCTTTCTTCTTTACTTGGCTTACGCTTGTTCATCTGTTAAAATTTGGCTTGTTTTTATCACATATGTATTTATTCCTTCAGTAAACATTTATTGGATAAACAGTATATGCCAATACACAGAGATGTATCTAAACACACACACACACACACACACACACACACACACACACACACAGAGGTGGGGGGAGAAACCCCCAGGCCCTACATTCTTGAGTTTATAGATTAGTAGAGAGGCAGACAAATTAACAGTGATGCTCATTAGCTCTAACACAGGTCGGTGTGAGTGCTGTGGTGGAGAACGAAGGGGAAACCCTAACCTACTCTCACCTCATTTCAGAAGATGTAAAGTAGAAGCAACACTCTGCTTTCTATCAATTACCTACATATACCACACCTATATCAACTTACATATTTTAAACGATATGTAGTTTTGTTGTAAAATTCAGATTCATTTAACAGTCACCCAACTCATTTATTTACTAATGAATTAATACAATTTGATGTTTATAATAGTAGATTTAATTATTTCTGGATTGTGGCTTGTTTTTCTTATTTTATAGTCACATTTACAATTGCTTTAAGATTAGGTATCATTTAGTCTCAATACTTGACGATGAAAAGATAATGTGTGCATATCTATGTTACTGTTATGTTATGTGTGGTGTGTGCACCAAGGTATACTAGATGAAATTCAGATCACTAAGTACTAGGAAAGTAGCTACTAAGTTTGAATTTGAGTGGAAATTTAGAAAGTTGCCCGTGATCAGATCATAGCATACTTTTACAAACTATGATCTTATCCAATAAAAGTTTTTCTGGGACTCTGTTTTTAAGTAGCAATTCTCTTAATTTCATCTGATTATGTGTTATTTTAGTACACAGTTTATGAGGGTGAGCCAGTGCTATGCTCTCCCTAAACTGTCTACATTCCCACTATACTTCTATATATTGCATGAAATACTTGTTCTATCAAAAAAAATGACCCCAATAAAATAGAAAATTCAACATAAGTTCCAGCAGTTCTTCACTAAAGTGAAACAACATAATTCCAAAAAGATTCATGAACTTAAAGGAGTGGGGGAAAAAGGATATGACAGCTACTTCTGTACTTTTCCATGCTCTCTTCAGAGTGCTTTTGCAAATTCTCTACACTGATTCCTTTTTTATTAAATTTATTGGGGTGACATTAGTTAATAAGATTATATAAGTTTAAAGTGTACATTTCTATGATACATGATCTGTATATCGACACTGATTCTTGATATAAGCTCAATATAGTAGTCTCTATACTGGCAATGTAATTTCTAGATATATACTCATCATAGTAGAATACTGTCACGTAGCCTGCAGGTGGGCAAGTCAGCAGGGTGACCTCCTCCACTATTATTTTAGGGTCCCTAGCCAAGAAGGCTCTACTTCCAAGGTAGCAATATTATCTTCATCATAGTCAGCAGAAGAGAGATGGAGTATGGAGCTGCCCACATGGCAAGTTGCAGTGAGCCACACCCGGAAGTGGCACATATCACTTCTGCTCATCTTCTGCTGATTAGTACTAACTAGTACTAGTTCCCATAGCTACTTGTAAGGGGTCTGAGAAATGTGGTGTAGCCCAGGAAGAAGAGAAATCAATTATGACAAACAATGGTCTCTATACAAGCTTATATTGTAAAAAAATAATTGTTCTTATTCATTATTATTGAGTGAATTCAGTTGAAACACATTGTTTAGAGTACTTTTGATTAAACAAAAACAAACAGTTAATCACTAAACAAAACAGTTCTTTTTCTTCTGAAATTCAATAGTTATCTATTATAAGAAAGGGAACAATTTTATAATCAATTGGTATGGACAGATTATCATTTCTCTTTTTATTTTCTAGGACGGACATATAACGATCTTAACCAATACCCTTTGTTTCCATGGGTCTTAACAAACTATGAATCAGAAGAATTGGACTTGACTCTTCCAGGAAACTTCAGGGATCTATCAAAGGTAACTTTTAAGTATATAGAAGTCAATTTTCTTCATAAGGCTATATTCTAAAAACACTTCTACCCGAGTATATCTATTCAATTAATGCTTGTAAGAAAGTAAACCTGGTTGTCTTCTTTTGTAGTCATCATCTAAATCTCATCAATTCTTAGCATAGGAATTAAGTTACAAGAAGATAAATTAGTACTAGTATAGGCAGAACAAAATGGATATTTGAAAAAGAACAGATGTAGGGAGAGGTTGCTCAGATATCCTAGGTTTTAAGGGTCAAAGTAAGAAACCTGAAATTAGTACAAAATATAATAGCAAATCACTTCTGTGATACATTTCTTAGGCAGTAAGACATGATCATAATGCACACACACATATACATACACTGTAAGGGAGCTTAACAGTGGAAAGAAGTTGGGTACAACAATTTATCGAGCATCTGGTAAGATTTGGTGCCAGAAATGGGAAGAAAAAATACATAATGGGGGATAAGAATGAAAAGCTGATTTTTGGTTAGTTCACCTCATTTGTACAGAAGAAAGTGAAGTGGGATACTAAACTCTGAAATACAGTGAAGAACTAGGAACCAAGCCCAAAAAGCTTTTCTATAGGCTAAGATAATTTCAGAGCCATATTAACCCTCCACCCATTCACTATGAAATTCTCTTTTCTATCATCTTAGTTGTTGGGGTTAGCATTTCACAGTAGGTTAAAAGACATATGTATATATATTGGGTTTTGATAGGGGTAGATTTGAGGAGCTCCTGGATAAAGGGAGCATAAGCCTTGTGAGACGAGGAAATATGCATTGCAACCAACTTAAAATTAATCCCACAGATGGTTTTTAACTTAACACACCTTCTCTTGCCTTTGAAAACAAAACTTACCTAAGTTGAAGTTCTGTATTCCACTACTTACTGGCTATGTGAATTAAAACCACTTTTTCTTAGCCTCAGTTTCCCCATTTGTATTTTGAGAACAGTAATACTATCTTCCTGCATACAGTGGTAAAGATCAAATGATGTGTACATTTAAAGAAAATAACATAGTACTTAGCACATAGAGGAACTTCATGAATATTATGCATTATTAGTATACATGGAATATTTCCTGGCCTATTTTGAAGCCTGCATACTATTTTTTTGCATATTCTTCTGTCATTCACTCTCTTGTTCTTTCATTTTATGTGAATTTTCTGTCAAATCTTAGTTGCTAGCCACCATCTTATAGAGAATCACAAGGTGGTAAAAAATAATACTAGCAATTGAATTCCAATTTGGCTGCAAATGGTAATTTTTCCAATATAACTGAATGGAACAAAAATCTTTAACCATTTACCAAATGCAGATAATTAATCAGACTTGGGTAGATAGACACATTGTAATTCATGGGGCCTTTCCTCCAGGAAGAAATCTAGTTATACATTATCTGAATAAAATCATTCCTGCAATATCAATAGGTGCTGTATTATATAGAGCGAATTCCATAAGAGGCAATAAAATAGTGGTGAAGAATAAGAGCTGTGAAGAAGGAATAGTGAGAGAAAGATACATCAGCATAAAGGGGGGAAATGGCATTAAATAAATTTATATCAATAGTAACCTTAAACGTAAATGGAATGGTCCAATCAAAAGACATAGGGTAGCTGAATGGATAAGAAAATNAAATGGAATAAATGGTCCAATCAAAAGACAAAGGGTAGCTGAATGGATAAGAAAACAGGACCCAAATATATGCTGTCTACAAGAGACCCACCTGAGAGCAAAAGACTCACACAGGCTAAAAGTGAAGGGATGGAGTAAAATATTCCATGCAAATGGAAAGGAAAAGAAAGCTGGGGTAGTAATTCTTGTTTCTGACAAAATAGACTTCAAAATGAAGACCATAACAAGAGACAAAGATGGTCACTATATAATACTAAAGGGATCAATCCAACAAGAGGAAATAACCCTTATAAACATTTATGCACTCAATATAGGAGCATATATAAAAAATTTCTTGCGGGACTTTAAGGGGGAGATTGACAGCAACACCATCATAGTGGGGGACTTTAACACCCCACTGTCAGCATTGGACAGATCATCAAGNCCTGTCTCTTATACACATCTAGATGTGTATAAGAGACAGGCATTGGACAGATCATCAAGACAAAAAATCAACAGGGAAACATAGACCTTAAATGATTCAATAGATCTAATGGATTTAATTGACATTTACAGAACATTTCACCCCAAAGCAGCAGAATACACATTCTTCTCAAGTGCACATGGAACATTCTCAAAAATAGACCACATGTTAGGGCACAAGGCAAGTCTCTACAAATATAAGAAGATTGAAATCATATCAAGCATCTTCTCGGATCACAATGCCATGAAACTAGAAATCAACCACTATAAAAAAACTCAAAAATATTCAAACACATGGAGGCTAAATAGCATGTTATTAAACAATGAATGGGTTACCAATGAGATCAAGTTTNAAACAATGAATGGGTTACCAATGAGATCAAGGAAGAAATCAAACACTTCATGGAAAGTAACGAAAATGAACAGACAACAACCCAAAATCTATGGGACACGGCGAAAGCAGTGCTGAGAGGAAAATTCATAGCATTACAGGCCTATCTCAAGAAACAAGAAAAAGATCTAATGAACCATCTAACACAACAACTGAAAGAACTAGAAGGAGAACAGCAGNTAGAAAGAGAATGATAAGAAAAGCCCAGAGTAAATAGAAGGAAAGAAATAATAAAGATCAGAGCAGAGATAAATGACATAGAGACTAAAAAAAACAATACAAAAAAATCAATGAAACCAAGAGCTGATTCTTTGAAAAGGTAAATAAGATTGATACACCTTTAGCCAGACTCACTAAGAAACAAAGAGTGAAGACCCAAATAAGTAAAATCAGAAATGAAAGAGACAATATAACAACTGACCCAACAGAAACACAAAGGATTGTAAGAAAATACTATGAGCAACTACATGCCAACAAATTGGACAACATGGGGGAAATGGACAAATTCCTAGAAGCATACCACCTTCCAAAGCTGAATCAAGAAGAGGCAGAAAACTTGAATAAGCCGATAACAACAAATGAAATTGAAGCAGTAATCAAAAAACTCCCAGCATACTTTGTCAAATATTAACTAACCATAATGGCGTGGGTCTATTTCTGGGGTCTCTGTTCTGTTCCATTGATCTATATGCCCGTTGTTGTACCAATACCAGGCCGTTTTGATTACAGTGGCTTTGTAATACAGTTTGAAGTCTGCTAATGTGATCCCTCCCACTCTGTTCTTTTTTCTCAAGATGGCTGCAGCTATTCGGGGTCTTCTTTGGTTCCATATAAATTTTCGAAATGTTTATTCTAGGTCTGTGAAATATGCTGTTGGTATTTCAATAGGAATTGCATTCAATTTATAAATTGCTTTGGGTAGTATAGACATCTTAATGATGTTAATTCTTCCAATCTATGAGCATGGTATATTCTTCCACTTGTTTAAATTTCCTCTGTTTCTTTTTTCAGTGTCACGTAGTTTTCCGAGTACAGGTCTTCTACATCCTTGGTTAGGTTTATTCCTAGGTATCTTATTTTTTTAGTTGCAATGGTAAATGGTATTGCTTTTTTAGTTTCTCTCTCTGAAAGTTCATTGTTGGTGTATAAGAATGCCATTGATTTCCAGATGTTAATTTTGTATCCAGCTACCTTGCCAAATTCATTTATCAAATCTAGTAGTACTCTGATGGAGTCTTTAGGGTTTCCACGGTCTGGGAAAACATATTTTCCAAGGATGTATCGGATAAGGGGCTAATTTCCAAAGTGTACAAAGAACTCATAGTGCTCAGCAAGAGGAAGACAAACAACCCAATTAAGAAATGGGCAAAGGACTTGAATAGACACTTCTCCAGAGGACATACAGATGGCCAAGAGTCAAATGAGAAAATGCTCAACGTCGCTAATCATCAGAGAGATGCAAATTAAAACCACAATGAGGTATCACCTCACACCTGTCAGAATGGCTGCCATCAACAAATCAACAAACCACATGTGCTGGCGAGGATGTGGAGAAAGGGGAACTGTAGTACACTGCTGGTGGGAATGCAGACTGGTGCAACCACTATGGAAAACAGTATGGAGGTTCCTCAAAAAATTAGAAATGGAGCTGCCTTTTGACCCAGTGATTCCACTCCTAGGAATGTATCCTAAGAATCCTGAAACATTCATCAGAAAGAATATATGTACCCCGATGTTCATAGCAGCACAGTTTACAATAGATCTGGAAACAGCCCAAGTGCCCATCAGTAGATGAGAGGATAAAAAAGCTGTGGGACATTTACACCATGGAATACTACACAGCTGTAAAGAAGAAGAATCTCGTACCCTTTGGGACAGTATGGATGGACCTGGAGAAAATTATGCTGAGTAAAATAAGTCAGGCAGCAAAAGACAAATATCACATGATCTCGCTTATATGTGGAATCTAAAGAACTTAATAAACTGATGAACAGAATAGATTCAATGACATGGAAGCATAGATGAGACTGATGAATGTCAGAGGGATGGAGGAGGGCGGGAGGGTAGAGGGCGAGAGAGTAACCAAAGAATTTATATGCATATATGCACAACCCAAGGACACTGACAATGGTGGGGAGAGCAACTGAGGAGGGGGATGAGATGGGGTGGAACGGGACATTGGGGAGAAAAAGGGACATCTGTAATATTTTAAATAAAAATAAAAATTAAAAAAAGAGAAAGAAAATTTAAGGTATTCTGAATTAAGAACTGTGCTATTTAAATTTTATAGTAAAGTAGAGAATCTTTATTAATTATATGCAAATATAACATAAGTATATTTACAAAATATAATTTGGATATGTTTTCCTAATATTTATTCAAGCTTTTACCCAGCATTGTTTTATCCCATGATCATTCTAATAAATAAATATGTACCAAGGGGAAAAAAAAGAAAGAAAAAAAAGAAAAGAACAAGAGCTGTGGAGCTAGAC